CGGACGCGGCAGGTAAACAAACCAGCCCGACCCGCCAGAGGCTTTCCCTAAACAAGTGGCGTCCCAAGTTTGGGAAACACTGAATTAAAATACTGTAACGAATTGACTAGTCCATGTATGGGTTTCTATCACTGCTCAGACAGAATTAGAACTAAATTGTATGCCATTGGCTGTACATTGATAATAGTTAATGGATAGTCTCCTTAAAATACTCCTGGGGGAATTCTGCGCCACTGTGCATGCTCAGAACTCATGTCCCCCTGCAGATTTCTTTACTTCCCCGCAGAAAAATGACTTTCTGACAGGGAAGCAAAGGGAAGCTGCAAGAGCAGTCACACACCACTCCCTAGCAGTGCAGGCACATCGTTTCAGGCACCTGGAGCAGCCAGTAGAGGTAAATCACCGTGAGTCTGAGAACACCGCAGACAGTGGCTTCTACTCTGAGCTGGGATCAGCTGCTAGTCCTGGCTGGGCTGGAGGCAGGAGAGGACGGGACTTCCTCTTCCCCTGCAAGGAGTGGCTGGGTCTGTGTCAGACCCACCCCCAGAAACCTCCCCCAGCTGCAGGAAGCTCAGCATCCTCTCCTGCTTCCTGCCCCCATCACTCCTCAGCTGTGAGGGGACGGGTCACTGTATGGGGAGCTGCTCCCCCATCCACCCAACCCCCATGCATCCAGACCTTCCATAACCGGACACCCCTGCCAAGCCTTATCCAGTACCCCTAGCCCTTCATAACCAAACCCCACCCCACTGAACCTCAACCTCTGCATCTGGAGACCCCTTGCAATCAGACCTCCTCCACCCAGACCACCCCCCCACTGAGCTTCCTGCACTCAAACCCCCACATTGAAAAGCCCCACCCCCCTGCACCACTCTGAGCCCCCACATCCAGACCCCCACACCACTGACCCCCAACTAGCTGCACCCAGACCCTCACCACACCACGCCCCACTCACCCAGCACCCAGACTCTCCCGCTGAGACCCCCAAACCCAGATCCCTCTGCTCAGGCCCAACCACCTTCACCTTGGAAGCCCCTGCAGAGTCCCATTGCCCCTGCACCGAACACACACCCCCCACGAGCCTCTGTGCTTCCAGATCCCCCCACACCTAAACCCCCCACTGAGCAGCCTGCACCCAGATTGTCCCAGATCATTCGATTAAAGACTGTATTGAAATTACACATAGATATAAACGGTCAGTTATGTATCCAACATTCATTATTCACTATTATTATTTATTGTATTACCATAATGCCCAGTAGCCCTAGTCCTGGACCAGGACCCCATTGTGCTAGGTGCTGTACAAACACAGAACAAAAAAGACGGCCCTTGTCCCAAACAGTTTACAATCTCAGTAATGTTAACTTTGTCATGTCCTGATTCTTGAAGCTCTCTTAACATGGCTTTTTATGGAATGCCCAATGGTCTTATGAAAGAAAAAAGTAGTAGTAGTAGAAAAAAATCGTAGTCCTGTTTGTTACAATGGGAGTACTTGCCAAATAAAGTGCTACTCAGCATGCACAAGAGTGGCAGAATTGGACCTTTAGTAAGCTTGGTGAAAATGTCCATGCAAACTGTGCTGCACAGGTACCATACCCAATTTTCAATGGGTTATAACTTAGCCATGTCTATTTCCTAGTCAAAAACCAATTTTCTGCTCCCTACCATTTTTGTCTGTAGAGCTATTCAAGAGAGGAAGGATAGATAGATAGATAGATAGATAGATAGATAGATAGAAAGATAGATAGATAGATAGATAGATAGATAGATAGATAGA